GGATTTTCCATTTTATGATATTAAAGAAAGCGTAAATAGTTATTCTTATTATTACGTGTATTATTATTAATCAAATGTCGTCATTGTTGTATCAATCATTAATCCTAATGTCGGCAAATAAATTTAAAACCCGATTACGCACATGATTTTGGTGGCAATACTAGGTGGTTTAACAGATTTTGGTGTCGATACTAGGTGCGTTTCCATGTTCATCCGGAGCGCAACCTTGTACACATTTACGGTATTTACATAACGAGTGTTTTTTGCGATTACTGGTTTTTTTTTCGCCTTTATTTTTTTACTTCGCACTTGTATGTTACACACTGATCTTACAATCGGATTGAATAAAAATCACGGGACCGCCAAATTTTTGCGCCATCACTATTTCACTCTTACAGAACGTACACAGTAACTGCGTAGTAATTATTGTCGATCACTTTCTGTGCCGATAATGGAGATAATCATGCGGCCCATTTCTATGTGATCACACCCGTGCCCCAACCCTAGATGAATATCATGGGTCATGATCGACATACTGGCAAATGTAAACAATACAAACAATACAGCTATAAATAAGGCAACGATCCTTTAGGGGAGTTGCAGAAGTCTTTAGTCATATAGACTTGTGTATAAACTACGTCCTGTGCTTTAAGGACAGAGAACGCTGATATGTAAAGTGGATAACCTGTACGATACGTCAAGACAAGCCAAACGAACGTGTGAGAGACCTAAGCATTTTAAGCGATGTACTTTTTGGAGATTTCTACGCGCTTCAATTAAAGAGAAATATACCAAGCAAGACTGGTTAAAAAGTTTAAATAGCGAAGAGAACATTTTAAAATTGCTGTTTTATATAAACATTCAGAAACCTGTTAAAAAAGACGAAAAATTAGATGGTACCATCACAATTGAAGATATTGAAACCAGTGGCTTAATATTTCTCAAACAGTGTGGCAAACTGTTTATCCCAAGAGCTCCGTTAGTACTAATATCCATATTGGTATATTTTTAATGAAAACCTTCGAAAACCTTTTGATTTATTAACTGAAGAAACATTTCCTTAGTTTATTCTCCACGTGCATCACGTTACCTATTCACTTACGCTTCGCACTGGAATCTCTATAAAATTCGGGACATTTATGGTGATTGTGTTAGAGGTTCAACCGAAATTTTAGATTGCAAAATCGATGTTTGACAACCAATCGAATACCATGTTCATACGAGTTTAATATCTAAAACATTCAATAGCTTCGTTAGACCTGGATTGTTGGACGGAAGAAAGCTTCCAGTAATTTTCTCAAACAAAGAAGGATACAAAGAAATCGATGTAATGTCAGGTAGATATACTGTCCTTATTGCTAGACGAACAATTCACACAAATTCAACAGGAAAAATTGGTGTTGATCTCATTCTGGATGAAGAAAAAAGGGCAAGCGCTACCGGGTGCAACCGATTTGCACTTGTCACACCAAAAACAATGGATGTGGAGGATATAAAAAATATCCCAGACAATTGCATCATTATGGCCGGAAAAGATTTGATTAATTTTATTGCTCTATACCGATGTTGGGGGTTTATTAATTTTCACTATTAGACGAATGCAAATATCATTTCCCATTGGTAAAAAAATTACATCACTGAACAGAATGGTTAAAAATTTCAAATGATTATTTTTGTCGTTGAATACTGTCTTGTTCTTTTGTATTTAATGCTTTTTTTTAATATACAGGTGACCCTCGTTAATATCAACCTCGTTAATTTCAACATTTCGTTGATATCAACATAAACTATAAGATAAATTTCAAACTATATAAATTCCCCCGCATATATCAACTTTATTATACTGTAAATTTTCATTAATATCACTATCAACATAAATTATATATCTTTTATAATGATATTCCCCGTTGATATCCTTAGCCAATAAGAATCGAATAACGAGTATGTGACATACAGGCAATACAAAGCAAATAACCAATCAAAATGCAAAGTTTTAACTATAGATCTAAAATTAGCAGCAACTATGCACAGCACAAGGAATCAAAATTTTGCGCACTTTATGATAAATGTGTATATGCCACAAAAAATTTTTATATACATAAATAGTGCGCATAGTCAAAACAATTACAAAGCAATTGCGCATAGTTTTTTTAATTTACTAGAATACGATCATAGAATAAGTTTCACTGATCTACAGTATTTTATTTAATACATTCCATAAGTTTACATCTGCGTATTCAGACACGTATCACTTCACCGACACTTACTTTGTAGATGCAACACTTCACCAACAAATTCATTTTACAGCCATTTAAATCATCAAAGATTAATTCACCAACATGTTCATTTTACCAACACATTTATTTCACCAACAATTAATTCACCAACAAACTTAATCACTGCAAATCGGCCTAATTATACTAAATTCAACCTTAACGCTAACCTAACTTAGGTCAAGTGTTTAATCATGTAATTGAGTTCCTTGTTCTTCAAGCTACCAGAATTGAACTTGGTGAGTGAGAAATTAGGCTTTGCGACTGTAGTAACAGTGCAAGAACCTTATGTGAGAGATATGGTTCCGTGACTGCAGTAGCTGTGCAAGGACCTTATGTCAGTGAGTAGGGATGGGTTCGGTTAGCCTATAGGCGGCTAGCTGACCGGCTATAGCCGTAGTCGATGATAATCGACTAGATCGGCTTAGCTGACCGGCTAGCCGATACCAAAATTTTTATTTCCTGGCTGATAAATCATAATTATTGC